TGCTGTAAATGTAGCACGTGGCATATGTAATGTGCCAATCGCAAAAGAATTGAGAACATCAGCAGCCTTTGCACGGAAACAACACCAGGCATCCTGGAAACTCGGGAAATGGCAGCAGCAAACGGATGAGAAACAGAATAAGAAATATTGCATTGAGGAGGAGGTCGATCTGCTAACAAAAAAGGAAAAGAAACTAGAAGCCACTTTTGAGTATAACAGCTACAGCAGACTCATATGTAGAAAAGACAGAGACAGTTAGCTACTTCACGTGCATTATCTAGTAAAACAGCATTAGCAAGACAGCCAAGACCAAGCAGCAAGAGATAGTGGATATTGATAAAAAAAATCACAAAAAGCAACAAGGCATTGCATAAGAACGGTTCCTTAGTTTTCATATCTGAATAAAGGTTTGCAACTTGTGTCATACTGAAAGTGCTTACATATGGAACTTAAAAAAAAAACAACCAAGAATGAAAGTGTCTAAAGAGAAAATGTCATGCAGTCATGTTTTCGACGCCCGCTACAGTGATTTCAGTGAATTCTGGTCAGTTCAAGCATTTATCCTCACCCGAACACATAGTAATTGAGTTTCTAACAGACAGTGTGGTCCTTGAAAACTTGCACACATAGCCTTAAAAGTCCTTGAAAGTCCTTGAGTTTTTGTCATGTAAACACGCATGAACCCTGGGTGCACTTGTTCGACGCCATTAAAATAGACACGAATGCAATCGGCTTTGTAGTCTGCTGAAGTGCCAGATATATTGCGCAGCACGTGCTCTGCACTACGTCAAGAATAGATGAAGGGAATGCGTGAACTAGCCTTGCACGACTGCTGCACTTTTTTGAAACGAATACCATGGTGTCGATGCTGAACGAATACATACTCAAATAGGCTGAGTTAGTAATGTATACCGACACAGCTTTGACAGCTAATGCAGACAACATAGCCGACCTAGAATATAGAAGTAAAGAAGAACTAAAAACACTTGCATGCTGCTTACAGCGAACAGATTAAGACCTAATACACAGAGAAGCAAATACACTATTTTTCACTTCCCTTACCAAAATGATTTCAACTTACAATGAACAACTACCAGCTTGAGCACGTAAAAGAATTTAATTATCTAGGAGTAGCATTCAATAGGCAATTACACTAGAAAAAACAAACTGTATGTACTAAGCTAGCATCTGGCTGCAGTATGCTACTGGCTTCTGTATCAATAGCAGTACACATTCTTTATTTTTCGATTTGTTCATTGTCACCTATCATACTGCCTAAACTTCTAGGATGGACCTTTAAAACTTACCCGATTCTATTTGCATATTACAAAAGCGAGCGCTTAGACTGGTAGACAATGCAGCCTATAATGAACCCAGAGCTCCTTAGGTTCACAAGTTGGAAATTCTACCTTTTGATTACATATGGCAACATAAAACTGCTGTAACCATCAGTAATCTTATTGCACTCAGAGTACCTTTCTATGTATCGATCTTTTCTTCCTGCTCTCGCATCCCTAGATGCATGACATCGTACAATTTCAATCTTCCACCTACTAATAACATCTATGATTAACGCTTACTGCAGTTCATAAGAGCCAAAGTGTGGAATAGCATTCGACTTCAGATTAAAGATAGTCAGGCTATTTCAAATGCACTTAAATATTTGTTCGATGTAGAACAATAGTAACTAATTATGCATAAAAACTTCCATATAGCTTGATATTTTATCTGTATTTGTTTTGTTTTTTCATGTGATGATGAATGGAATTTAATAATGTTAAAATAATACAATTTTTTTTTTACGTGCTATCATGCATTCACGTCACCTTAAATCCTCATAAAATCTTTCGCATATTCTTCTTTGTTTTCTTAAAAAGCAGTCTATTTGATGTTGTAATTTTCATACAAATTGTTCTTATGCTTGTATAACTTCTCCCATTATACCCCCTGCTAACTTATGGCTATGGGTCTAATCAGTGTTGTATATTTACATGAACTGTATACAAAACAACCTCAATGAATCTTGAAATGACTAATAACGTCAGGACTCACGATCGCGTACCGCCACAGCGCGCTGACAATCGATCAAAAGTACAGCCAACTGTTCAAAAATACGTAAAATGAAACTTGTTTCTATGAACAGTCGCGTCTTCTGAATAGGATTTCACTGTTTTTGTCAGTTTTCCCATTTTTGTTCAGAACCTCTTTGAAAGATTGTAGATATCTTAAGATTCAATAAGTTTATTTTGTGCTTTTGCCTATGATTACTACATATGAAAATTGTTTGAACCCACAATGTTACCTAATCAAATGGAGACGTTTAGTGCACCTTTACATCAATTTCCCTTGCTCGTGCATATTCTTTCGAGTTTCTTTTTATTGCAAACTTGTGTTTGTGTGTTGACATATTGTCACAGTGATACTCGAGTCTAAAGGCATATGACGGTAGGAAGATTTTAGAATGTAACAGATCAAGAATATGTCACAATACATGAGTAGTAATCAATTGCCAAGAGGGTTCATTGACAAGCATATTAAAGGAGCCTAGATAAGGTTATAGACATTATTCCTTGTGAATGCAACTACAGGATGCCAAAGCAAAGTGCACATAGCACATGAGACAATAAAAACACGCTTCTTTGGAAAGTTCATAAGAAACTACAGACAGCACAGAAAGTTGCTAATTATACTAATTATTGGCAAGTATACACTTGATTATACTTAAATTCTGCAAACAATGGTGTTTAAACATCAATGTTAACATTACTGCAAAACTTTTGTAATTGCTGAACTAAAGCAGCACTTGCCTTGAAGTAATGCTAGCCACGCCATTTTCAACAACATAATTTGAAAATGAACGCAGAGTTCACTCCTCATACAAATGTATTTTGCTTACATTTCTCAATTGAGCACAAGATGACAGCAAAATGAAAACTTACCATGTGTTCCTGACACCGATGAAATCAATGCACCAACTATGGCACTTGCCGCTGGGCTGGTTTGATTTGCAGGGTCGATTACTTTGACTTCGAAGAGCGGTAAGGGATGCGATAGACCAGAACAGAAACAATGTGTACGTGATGCTCAGATCAACCTTATTCCCTGTGCAAAGTTATCCTGTGATAGCACATGCACTCCAATCATAGGTTTGATGCGAGCAAGCATAACTTGGTGTGGTGCACTCTGTTTGAGGGTCTTGCTGAGGGTTCATGCTCTGCCATTGAAATTCAGTCTTCGTCCTTGCAGGTATATTAGCAAATATATAGCCATTTCATTGTCGAAAAGCTCTTATACCAAATTCATAGCTGAAAAGACTTACCAAGCATGCCAGTGCAACTTGAAGCTTAATTGTGCAGAAAATAAACAAGCACTACAGAACAAGTGTACAGATCAGGGAATATGAAAGCACCTTCACTGACTTCATAGAGAGAAAACTACTGAATATAACTAACTATGCCATAAACAACTTGCAAAGCATGCCTGTTAACCCTTTGCAGACAGTGCAACATGGCTGCAGTGGTCTGTAGACATGTACTGCTTAACAATTTATTGTGTGGTTGATTGGAGCGTACTTTTCTTAGTACATTACTTTTTAAGCCAGTTGCAAAAATACAGCAAATTACCATTGTGCCGATCCTCCTTTTTTGCTCACTGTGCTTAAGGGGCATGGACACTTTTTTTCAGAGCCGTGTTTACTCTGCCATACAAACCTACTGTATACAGAGATGGCTCTGAGGAAGTGTGACGCTCAGCAAATGCTGATAAGATATTTTATATTGATAATAAAATAAATTTTCATGCGGTGCACTCCTCCACATCGACACTATCTCAACGTCAGGCTACACTACTAATACTGGCGACTTCACGCAGCTGTCAGGCTAGTGATGATGTCACGCACGAAAACATACGGAAAAAAAAAAATGGCAGCTTGAACATAACCTTCACAATCATCTGCTCATGCTGTGCAGTCACTGTCACCCAAACTACCTGTGAAACGAGCTTTTGATGTCTGGAATGGTGTACGTACTCGCAAGTAGAAGATATATACTTATCAAAGGGCAAAGGAATCATTTGATTTTGAATTTGTCGTCATGGCATCAATATTCTGCCGTGTAAACTCTTGCACCAGTGAAATGGGGAACAATAGGAACAAGTTCTACCGATTCCCATCTGATGCTGCACTGAGACAAGCGTTGTTCAACTTCATGTGCTACGGCCAAGGCCCAGACTAAACACTAACCAAGCGAAGTTCACTCTGTTTGTTGCACCTCACTGCAGACATCTGCATGCGCAACATCCAGTTGCTTACCGACTTTGAATTGTCGACGAAAAACCTGCACCTTAGAAGCGATGCCATCCCAACGTTGTGCACCCCTGCCACGACAGGTGCCACACGTGCAGCACGCAGCAGACGATCGAAGAAGTGAAGCGCGGACAAGGAATGTCACTAAAACTTGTACGTGCACGTACTACTGCCTGGTGGTGCTGCTCATATCATGTCATGACGTCAGTTTACAGTATGAATAGAAAGTAGGTGTAAAAGCATGCTGTAATTAATGCTTCAGGGCACACTCACATTTACCAGTACATTTCCTATGCTCTCGGAGGCTTGGCCTCTCACTTGACAAAAAATAATAAGTGGAAAATTCCCTTCAGAGTGCTTTCAGTGACAGTGCATTTGCCAAATCACACGTTCTTCATTAACAGTGCGTAATCTGACAAATAACAATGAGGTTTTACAACTGCACAGTACCTTTTGAAAAAGCTTTTGCGGTGTTGGGGTACCTTCACTGGAATAATGGGCGAAAAAGGAGGAGCATTACTGTGTGTACTACTTTTTCCATAACTTGTCAGAGTCTAATGCACCATCTCTTAAAGAATTGGTGAACTTTTTACTTCAGATATGAATCTTTTAGTTTCAAATTACAATTAATGTAAGGTGGTAAAAGGTTTTGAACTGCAAAGGCTTAAAAGGACAAAGCAGAAAAAAACAAAGCAGTCTTGTCATAACTATCACAGGGATGAACTGCGATCAAGAAGATATGAATTTATGTTGTATACTTGTAAATTAACAGAATATCATTTGTGCATCATGCATTTGTTGACTTTACACAACTGTGACTTTTGTACATGCCATGTGTTAATTAGTGTAAAGATGGAAGCTAAGTAAGGCAAGATCTATTCTGTTTAACTGCTTGCCTTTGCTGTCTTGTGCTACTGTATTAATGGTTGATTAGAAAGCTAGGGAAAGTATAGGGGGTGTATTGAGTATAGGCAATTGCTGTCATGACTACTTGCAGTGCTGACTGACACTCCCCCAATTTAAATGCACACATGTACGCCATAAAGTGAACTGCAGGATGACCACCACGGCACAGCTTCAAACACGTTATTCGTGTCCAAATCACAAATTTGATCCATTCCAGTGAAAAGTTGCCTCGTAATCCACTTTATTTTTTCCCTTTTACGTTACACTGACCACTAATAACCTCCTCTATGCTTTTCTAGACTTGTCTGCTAGTTGTCATTAATATCTAAAGAAAGAAAAATGTGCACTTATAATTCCCCTTCTTTTGTTCATAATGAATCATCGCAAGCTAACCTGTCACTAGTGCTTCTGTGACTGTGCCAAGGCAATAGTAGTCAATGTTTGTGTTATGTCAGTCTGCTGATAAAACTAAATAAATTAACGTTTCAAAAATGAAACTTACGTTTTCGACGCCTGGCACTTATACATGATAATTCCACTTGAAGGACTTCCTTCAAATCTTTCCTTCTGGCCACCATTGTACCATTAAGAATGAGGCACAGCATTCTCTCAAAAGCTTCGTCGATGGCTTTTAGCCCGTCTTTTTTGACCAAAAGGTTGAAGTCATGAAGAAACTTAAAAATAGACAAACAAATTCATGAGCACAAAGAACAGAACTTAATTTCTAAGAACCATATAAATACAAAGAAAACTTAATAGAGAAAATGGAAGATGTTAACTATGAATCCTGCTGGGATGGAAAAATTATCAGAAAATTCAGAAAGCGAACAAACGTATGGCCTAAAGGGTGAACTTTACTAGTTTTCGAAGCTGAATGCATCATAACGAAATCAAGCGTATACAGTTCTTTGAACACTTCTATCATTTAAAAAAAAAAAAAAGACCTGACACTTTTTTTTCAAATCATCTTTTGACTGCCTCAAGCCAACCCTTTGCTTTGTCTATATTTTCTGTGCACATTGAATGTATGCCCAAGCAAAGAAAACTGGAAATGAATGACAGATCACAGCGATAAGGTCCAGACCCATCAAGGGATATGACAGTAATGAGCTACTGTTCAGTCCAGTGTGATGCTATCACTACAAGTGATGTTGTATTTGAACAGTCATGTAATAAACACTGTTTCATTATCGCTAGCAAATACTTCATACTTTGTGATGATGCTGATTGCATTCAGCCATGGTAAGACCTGCAGAACCTGAATTCATGTGAGCAATTAAAGTGAATAACACTATTTACCATGTTGATTCGAAGTCCACAAATCTCCCTCTCGTAAAACGCAAGCATAAACTGTAAAAAGCAGTCATGCAGTGTACTATAAACAATGGCGCACGGCAGTACTTGAATGCTCCGAGTACCACTCACCAGCCCTTCACCAGTCATAGGCCATTTTAGAAGTCAGTGGCATAAGCCACTAACATGCATAAGGCATGTGCGAAAAACTGCACCAAGAAGTGTGCACTCTAGGCTGATATCAGAAGCCAGATGAGTAACAGAAAATGTGACTAAGAACATAGCAAGACTGGAGGACTGCAAGCCGGGCCAGTTGGTGACAGTACATGAGCATATTTTGACACAGCGCACGACTACACGAACACGACAGAAGGGGGGACAAACTGCAGCACTGTGGTTTGTCCCCCCTTCTTGTGTGTGGTCGCTGATGCTATAAATGACTTACCCATTCAATGTCAAGCAAGTAGGGGTATTTTTCAAGCGCATCAACTGCCTTCATTTGGCACAAGCTTTTCATTCTTTGTAGGTGCGTAAGGCCCAGACGGCAGCGTACTTGTTCAGCATTTTCTGGCTTGGTCCACTCTGACAAAAGCCATGCTTCATGCTGCGCAAGGCTTGTCTCATCTTCACCTGTGGTTTTCAGGCTTTGCATCTGCATTTTCAATTGAAATGGTCACTACTCTAAATAGGCAAACTTGAAGTTAAGAAGTACCGACCAAAATGCCATTCACTCTGTTTTCTGCAGGCACAACGCCCTCCAAAGCTCTTCTTTTGGACCCTCCTCCATACTTTTCTCTGGCATTCATGACTCGGTCGACTTGCAGCTTGCGCCTCTCGTTTTTAAATTTATTTCTTAGATGCAAGACCCAGGAATCCTGTGCATAAAATTTTCACAATAAGAAATTCATCTATTTCTCGCTGTAGCTCCTCCTTTTTTTTCATTTTTTTAAAATTCTGGATTGACTTTACTGAACCTTGTTAAGTCTATGTATATTCATGCGCTGCTTTGAAATGCGCAGACAATTTTATGGGAAAATATGTTTTCATATAACAGAGAATTTCGTGCTTCCCTTCTGCGAAGAGAGAAAGCAAAACAACTTCAATCGATACTGCAGAGTAAATGAAGCTCTTAAACAGCGACTAGGAGTCCTTCGGCACTAGTGGCATCTTCAGCTTTTCTGATCGCTGGTAGCTGGTCCTGAATTTTTTTGCAAGTCTAAGAGACTTTCAATGTAACTCAGCAAATCTAAATCTGAAATTGAACTTGAATGTGCTAAAATAAGAATGGATGTTTAAACATGACTAAATTAAAGTTATTGAATGTTGAACATTCGTGACTGAACTTCCCGCATAAAATTGACATATTCATGGATGTTTATCATAACTTTACTTCAAGGGGATGTGATAACATCGGCGTTCAGTTGACTTTATAGTTATTAGTCCAGTTTATTGTAATAGGCTTATTTACTTTGTAACTTTCAAGTTTAGAAAAAACTTCTTGCTCCCAAAAAGCACATCAAATGTTTGATATTGCAACATGGAATCAATAAGGACCCTGCAATTGAAAGCTCGGCAGGCTACCATATATTAATAACTATATTATTATCGCAGCAATTCCAAGCTCCAGTCTTATCTTATTTAGCCCAAGTCCACACTTTGTACGAGGATGACTGCAATGCAGGTGACAAGGCATGACTGAATGGGTGTGCCTAGCAGACGAAATGTTTGCAAAGCAACTGAGCCTGACATCACGCTTTTATGTGGAGAATTCGTCAGCTGTAACACAATCTGGAGGTGACCGCAGGTAGCGCTCCCATCACTGAAAATGGCTGGATTGTAGACTTTTAATTTGAAATCGTACTAGATACCAGTGATATAAACCAATAAAAACGATAGTTATTCGTCCCTCAGTTGTGCTTTAGGTCGCAAATCACTACTAGGGGGTCAATAGCTACTCGTTGATGCAAAAAAACCTGAAATGAGTAGATTTGATGTCAGTCCTCCTGTAAATGTGAATGCTTTACAAAAGCAAGTACTACTTATTTACTATGTGGACTGGTGCCAATAGTTGCTGAGGTATTATTACAACCTTATTGGCTTTAAGGCTACGTGCATCTTAGGAGCTTGCAGCGATTATTGTGCAAATGCAGGTTTCTAGGTAAAGAATGTGCTGTAGCACATGACAAAATAAGAGAAACAATGGTGCAACTATACTTACATGGCCACTGCCGCATGTGTCTCCCAGTTGAGGGTAGAGTCCGACTAGTTTGAGCCCAACATCGTGGTAGAAGCGCCGCGATGGGTAGCTGCAAAATGTTTTCAGGTTTGAAAAAAACAGATGTGGGCGATGACTAACTCAAGCTCATAGGCAGTCTCATTGTTGTCTTACATTGTGTGTTTTATCATTTCTTGAAACAAGGAGTCAACAATCCTCACTGTGGCAAAGGAACTGATGCTGCTGTTGAGGTTCAAACTAGAATTTAAAAAACTCAAGTCTGGTAGTGTAAACTTGCTGCCGCTGTCGTCATCATCACAGCTGAAACGATCATGATATAGTCTTTTAGCAAGTGAGAAATCATGTAATACTACAGGCAGTAGTGGTGAAAAGGTCACATTTTACTGGCAATACAATGGTCATTTTCGTTTTTTAATGAGTTTAATACATGCAAATGGTCTGCATATTTCTTCCCAAAACATTTCTTGTGCTTTTAATATTAAAAATAGGGCTTTTATTATAATCATAGCTACCTTTGCCTGCTTTGTATTTATCTGGATGAACTCACAAACTATGCACTTGTGATGACGAGTGTGATTTGGTTCACATAATGAGAGTGCTCCTGAGAAAATCCTGCTATTAATCTGCTCAAGTTTCCACTGCAGGGAAATGAGTCAGAAAGCTCGGCCTCTGCTTGCAAGCACTAAAATGACATTTATGCTACATGACAATGCTACGCCTCTTCAGCATCTCTGTGTTTGGCCTTGTGGTCAAACACATCTCTGGACCACTGGCAACAATGCTTTCTCACTACCATTGATGCAACCATGTCCTGATGATTGTCAGGTGGGAAGACAAACCAATTAATTGAGTGTCAGGAAAAAAAGAGGGAAGTTTTCAAGGGCCTCCTGAATCAAAAAATGAACGTAACCCCGCTATTATGGCACCATTTTTAAAAGTGCTCATGGCTTCGTGTTAAATGCAGATTCATGCACAGATATAAGACCTCCACTAAATCATGCTCTCTTAGACTCTGAAAGGATCCTAACAATCAAGCTTGTGCTGTATTCATGCTAAACCAGTGTCATGCTGTGCTGTACAGAAAAATACAATGATGAATGCTTGATGCTGCAACACTTTTACAAACATTGTCTTTTTTAGTAAGATTTTTTACCTAGCTATAATGGTGAAACTTTGCTCAGCAGCTTCTTCGGAATTGCTGTGGCCATTGCCTGGGACAGTACGCTGCAAAATAAGGAAGAAGTTTGCCAAGTAATACATATAACAGAAACTTAGTCTGTGATTATAGCTATTTATAATTGCTGTGTTAAGTGCACAGCTTACATTTTCACTTTTCTACAACGAGCTGCAGCAGTTAACAAGAAAGTTGCGTCCCTTCGTGTAGGTACTGTACTGTATTTATAACAGTATGTCAAAATTCTTGGCACAGAACAAGCAATTACCTTATTATGCAAACTGTGACTGCCTGACTGATCAGTGAGTTTTATTGCAGAAGTACCAGACATTGCCAAAGCATGCCATGACTGTCCCTTGTGCATAGTACACAATCTAAACATGACAAATAAAATGCAATGTCACGTGTCTGTAGAAACGCATTAAATCGGTTGCAGAACGAGTGCATTTTGTAGTGTTGCAATTACAATTTGCCGTTCCCCCAGTGGAGAAGGGGAACTTGAGTAGGCGAGTACGAGCCCTCCACTCCACTTGCTTCCCACACATTTGTGAAGTTTACACTACATGTGAATGTGTCATTTTGTAACGTCACCCTGATGGGAGACAGATAACCATTGCCGATTTTTTAGTTTCCGTAACAGCCGTGTAAACATGAAGGGGTTGATTCCCCCTATGAAATTCTACTGATGCCAATATAGATGGTACAAAAAAAGCAGAGAACAGGCAAGGCTTACTGAAGTGCTCTGAACAATGTAAACAAATACTGTTGCCTGTGCTAGCCATGTGTGGTTCGAGCTCACGCGTGCGAAGAAAATGAGTATCTGCACAAAGCATTGAACATAACTAGAGCTCATTTTCGCTTCACAATAGCAGGAATCAATTGAGTAGCTGGACGATACACGTTCTGTCCTGACTGCGCCGGCACTGAAGCAGATGTAACTGTACAGTGGGTTCAGATTTAATCTTTTCACCAACAATACGAATTTATGAAGCTTTATACAGTGTAGTGCCGACTTAAACATTTCAAATTGCTAGTGAAGCCGCTAATAACAGTGGCAAGCCAATGTCCCGAAGTTGCAGCTATTTACGAGGGCTACGGAGGCCAGTGCTTCGAGAAGCATTCGCAACAAAGCATTGTTGTAAATGGAGCACACCTACCAGATGTAGTTTTCAAAATTTAGCCTTGTAAATGATGATAAATGAATGACATCCTTGGTCCTATAAATGGACATCAATTTTTTCCTGTGTCTGTACATATGTGACTACTTGAAATATAATGTAACTCAAACACAACAGATCATAACACTAGACAAAAAAGTCTGGACCCTGAGAGTTTTGTTTTAGCTGTATAGTGACAATTTTGATGTAAATGTGAAAAGGGTAAGGTGAATAAATGATTCACTAAATGCACTTTATTTCTAATCGGTTTAGTAGTTTTTTATGAAAAAACAATTTTTTATCTTCATTTCATCCACTTCACTATTTTTCAGAATTTCTGTCTGTTTTTTTTATTAATTTATTGAGAACAAGTACAAAATTGCCAAAGGAGACATGGCCAAAGGCAAACATTGCCTGACTGGGTTGTACCACCCATACAGCAGCAGCAAAAAATGACATTTACAAATATAAAAGGGTACATAAAAATCAAATACTAAAACTGAGATCAATATTACACAGTCATATAACACTGAAAAAGAAAAGAAAACATAGGTACAATTTTAACAAAAAAGTATGCACGGACAACTCTCGAGCAGAAAAAAAATGCATTATACTAAAAAAAAACAACTAGGAACAATTTGTAGGGCTCACAATCTACACGTGGGAAGAAAAAATAAAAAAATAAAAACAATACATAACAGTGATAGAGAATCAAGTTATTCTTTTATTTGCTTTAGTCCTTTGAAAATAATTATTATTTTATTCTTTTTTGATAGGCTTGCTTCCTAATTCCAGATCTGAGGAGACCTATGGTAAAGGTATAGCCATTGAGGAAATTTATGTCTCAATTAGCCGAATACAGTTATACAATTAATGTCCCCTACGTCAGACATAGCTTCATCATCTGTTTGTTTTATTCAAGGTTGTATCAAACAAAGAAACACGTAGCACTTGTCTTGCAGAAATGTAGTAGACCACATGTGTCAAACAAGCATGCATAGATGTTCAGGTAAAATAGAGGAAAGGGTGGGCTGACTACAGAAGAGAGGGTTAATATGAGAAGACTATCACTGAAGCAGATTAAAGTAAAAGCTAACCAATTTCTATTGCAAAATGAAGCTCAAAGGATTTGAGCATGATACAAGGTGCTTTGACACATGTCCTTGGCTTCTTCCAGAATTGTCAACGTCTGCAACATTAATTTTTTTCTAGAGTGGACAGGAACAGTTCTCTTTAAAAAAATAGTTTGCACGAACATTTTTTTAGAAGTCTATCTTAAATGTTGCAGTTCCTGCAGCTAAATCTGCATGGGTGTGGGCCGCTCATGTGCACACGTGTTGGCAGAGGATCAGAAAAATTGTAGCTAGCTAGACAACGTTTAGGTAGTGCTCTCGGCCTCTCCAAGGCTGACAGGCTTGTGTAAAAAAAAAAAAAAAAGTCAGGCCTGCACACAACGTGCAGGCCGCAATAAGCGAAAGGTGGAATAGCAGTCTTTATAGACCATTTTTTAAACATTATTAGGATAACTACTGCAAGTAGACTTAGCAACCACTACATTATAATCTTCGTTTTTATTAGGTATGAAAACACCGGCTACACCATTATTCGTTCTTCTGCCAAGAAGTGACCTACCCACTACATTACACAATTCACATTGTGCAATGCCTAGTTCTTATTTTCCCCTTATGAAACACTATTGTGCATGTTAACGTGATTACTTCTGCGAAATGAAGCTTGCGTATGTTCTGTTTCCAAAGGAATTTCAAGCAGTGGCGTGGCTCAGTAGTATAATACTGGGCTGCAACACAGAGTACCATGGTTTGAATCCTAATATAACCAAAATATTGTTGATTTACAGTCTTCTAATTTCAAATGATAGCTGTTACAGACACTAGTGGCGGCAGACAACTATGGTGCGTGCCAAGAACGGCTTTTGTTGTGATCTCATAAAGTTGTAAAATATCGACAGAATATAACTGACCCCAAAGAACATTTTGGTAATCAAGCACAGGTGGCAAATTTTTTTAATGCACAAGAGGTGTAGTGCATTCAAGGTCCACTAATCCTGTGTCAATTTGTACTTGCAGGGTTTATGTGGGTCCTTGAAATCAATTAAAAACCTTGATTCGGAAATTTGTTTTCCAGGCCTTACATGTATTGAAATTTTTCAAATCCTTTTTTTTTTATTTCTAATGAGCATTGTCCCGTATTTCATAGCATATTATTTGTGATGCCATGAATGTAGTAGGTGGCATATGCAATAGGCCCATCACAAAAGAAACCAACACTATGCATTTTCAGGAACTCTGAGAAGGCAGGAGCAGGAGGATAATAAACAGAAAAAAGATATGTTTCATTGAGGGGGAGTTCGAAACAGTAGCAAAAAAGAAAAAGAAACTAGACACCGCTCAGAAGGAATGAACAGCTATAGACTTGCATGCAGAAAAGGCAGTGACAGCTAGCGACTTGTCATGCACCAAGTCAAACACCATTCGGAAGACTGCCAAGACTAAGCAGCAGGAAACAATGGACATTCGTATGAAAATTCAGGAAAAGTGATTACTGCAATACTGAAAATGATTATTCATGCAAGGAAATATGATCGAACTTAATAAAAAATTATTTCGGGCCAGTTGGTATGAATAACACCTTTGTAGGAAGCGCACGACTTCTAAACTTCTGTCTAGTGTTCCTGTGTATAAGTTGAGGCTTTCCCACCCAGATATGATTGAACGTTCTCCAGAAAGAAAATGTTATTGCAGCCACATTTCCAATGTTTGCTCGAGCGACCATTCCCTTTTTCAATAAATTCCAGTTACTTGAAGCCTCTATCCTACCATGAAACATGTCTATTACATTTCTGACCGACGTTGTGGTCCTTGAAAATTCACAATCATTTTCTTGAAAACCCTTCAATATTTGTTATGTTAATGAGTATGAACCCTGTACTTGGGTCCGGACGGACCACACGACTGATAGAGCAGCATTACACCTGTTAGCAGCTGGTAAAGGCTAGTCATTTGGCCACACATTGCAAAAAATGTTCCTAAAGCTAATTTTTGAAAACGTGTGTGTTGTTGGCAGCTCCAAATATAAAAAAAAACACTGTTGGGAAATATTAAAACAAAAATTGTGTAATGTCTTATGTATCTAATCACATCTTCTCTCATGCTGAGCCCTGAGTAAAGCATTTGCTAACATTTACCTCATCCTGCTCCAGCGATGATGTCCTCCTTTCATGTTGACCCTGAAAGCCCTTCTCTATATCCTTTATCTGAGCATCTATGCATGCTTGTTTGCATGTAGTTGGTAGTTTGCACTCAGTGTCCTTTCTTCTCTTTTGTAATTTTTGCAGTTTATATATAGTGCTAATTTAACTATGAAGTAATAGAGGCACGCTACAGGCAAATTTTTCATTAAAGTATTTCAGAATGACAATATGCGACACTTTACCTCGCGTGTTGTAAACAGTTGGCCTGCTTTTAAAGTCCGGATGATGGCCAAATCAGGAATGCTGTCCTCATCAACCAGGTCAAGATATTCATTGAACTCCTTGTCGAGGACCTGTGCAAAGCAGAAGACATCGTCTGCTGAAAGAATGTCAGAGTAATCTTTTCACACAGCTGAGTGCAGAAAGAGAGCAAGCACGGGCACTATGCATCATTTTGCTTGTTATTGGTCATTGCTACACGGCCCAACTGATCCGGATAAAGTTTAGCGCAAGTGTCAGCCAAATCGTGTACTGAAAGCCTGATTTCTATCGGGTCTGATCACAATTATTACCGGTATCACACAGGGGTCGTTGATTGCGATCAATCTCAACCGAAGATCAAATTTATCAGTAGTGATTGTCTCCCTTCTGCAGCTTGCGTAAAGGAACCAATCGCGATCGTCACGATCCAGACCAAGCCTTATCGCAATCAAGTGACCGTGTAGCAGCAACTCATTCAACTGAACCAGTATCGCTTATCGCTCCAGATTGTGATGAATGAAAAGTGCCCATGCGACATCAGTGGCAGGCGCCACCACGTTTCGGGGCAAATGATCGTTAGATCGCAAGTGTGCGGTATTGCGTAAGATGCCCACCAAGACATGATCGCGTGAACTCGCATGCGTCAATTGAGTATCAGCATCATGCTGCGTGTACTCATGTTGCATTGAACTCAACGTGCATTAACGAAAAAAAGAGCAACAGAGGGAGGGGGGATGATACGATATCTTACCTGAAATCTGTCATTGTCGCAGTCTATCTCAACGGACAACAGTTGGCACTTGCTCACGGCGTCTTTTAGGCCACGCAGATTCGCCTGTTCGAGTCTGAGCTTTCTTCGGGGGCCGCCGTTGCTTACCGTCAGTAGACATGTCACTGTTGTGACCGCAGATTCATGTAATGTTGCCATAGAGCTCCTCAAAACAACGCGCAAGAGTTATGGCAACCACCAACTCGTGTTGCACCCACCAACGATCCGGCGCCGCAATGAACGCGCTTCCCGCCAATTTGATCATTCGTGTTTCCGGCTCCGGTTGTTTCTTAGCCTTCGAAATAACAAACGTTGGCATTTTGTGATAATAAACGCGTCAATCTTAAAAAGTAAGCTGGGAAATTGCACAAAAGTTTTGTTCATATTTGTATTCTTGGCTCAAGATTGTTTTTATGTGGCCAGCACCTAAACGCTTGGCCTTCGAGATTAAAGTTATTGTAGCTCAGAAGAACGTAAACAGAAAAGATCAAAGTCCTCTAGCGTTAATTCATTGGTTTTACAAGGTAGCGTCAGACAAGCGGGATAAATATAAATACAGTGAAGCGCACGCGTATAAGTCATTCGTGGTAAAGCAGCGGTGTGTGTGTAACTGTTGCGGCTGGTGGGTATTGAAGCAGCACTGATTGATTGATATGTGGGGTTTAACGTCCCAAAACCACCATGTGATTATGAGAGATGCCGTAGTGGAGGGCTCCGGAAATTTCGAACACCTTTTCGTCTCCATTGAAAATGCAGCCACCGCAGTTGGCATTCGATACCGCGACCTGCGGGTCAGCAGCCGGGTGCTTTAGCCAGTAGACCACTACGCGGGGTGGGGGGTGGGGAGGGGGGTATTAAATCAGAATAAAACAGCGCTTCACACACAGGATGAAGTCAGAGCTACAGGCTCCGTGTTGAACATAGTCATCCAACGCCGTGCCTGCAGAGGGGGGTGGGGGTCACGCAGCGTCCCGCCTAAATAAGTCAATGTATACGGAGTAGACCTGGACCTCCCTTCACCTCCTCACCTTTTATACGGCTTGGGAACCCCCTCCCCTTTTCCTGCGGCTGTGCCCGCATCTACGGCGCAGAATATCAACAAAAGTTTAGTTTATTGCAAATCAAAAGCAACGTGTAAGCAGTGGCAATATGCACAGATAACAAGACAAATGTCAGCATACATTTCAAGCAAGTCGCGATAAACAACAAGCAACAGCGATAAATATACCTCGTGCACCTTCTCAGCGAGCTGTCTCCGAAGGCACGCCGCCTCAAGAACACCGTATTGTTGAATATGGAAAGCTTCGCTATTCTCATGTGCCTGCTGCTGAGTAACTAAACGCTTTTCAATAATTAGATGGAACCTGTATTATTCCCCATTGTCAGCCAAGTTATCTGGCACGGATTCACTGAGCTAGCGAGCCAGTTCCCTCGGCCGATTATTTATACATCCTCATGTATGGTCAATTTAGCAACGCAGGGTGATAAATGGCATCTTCTATGCTGCAGTTTATTTGCGATGAAAGTTTAGCAAGGGCTGCATCTGTCATCTTCACCTTGTTCTGTCTCAATTCTTTGTCACTACCGGGAATCATTTTGAGACAATTTTCCATGAATTTTTGCTGTGGGGACAGGTTGTAGTCGAGAAAACACGTTATAATGTGACAGGAATGTAAATGCAATATCTTAGCTTTGCCACAGCTAGCGTGCCTGAATTCTCGTTTGTTTCGGCTGCAAGCTAACCATACAAATGAAACTAGTTTTGGTTTCAAATGTAGGTCAAGTTCAACTTGATATTTCAAAATTACCTAAAATATGTCTACCTAGAACCAGTATAATACCATTACTTTTGGCCAGATTTTTAGGTGATAAAAGCATTGTTCGTCCTTGCAGGCCAGGCAATAAATGCATGCAGATGTACATTGCCTCGGTTCAAACTGCTGCAATGGGTGTTGATGCAGCAGTAATGCCAATCGTAGAGATTTATACCTAAATCTAGGGATTTGGAACCTCTTCTAAGAATTTGGCATCTTTTTTTTAGATCTAGAGATTCTTGTAATGCTCTGTAAATGTCATATTAGCAGCCTCACAAAGGCAATACTTTGTAACCACGCTCTTTAAACTAAAAAGACTGTAAAAATGATAATTTTGGCTATTTTGATGTTCTTTCTACTTAAGAAAGTCTTGCTGTTCTGCTGGCCCAAGTGAAGGGGCAGCAGTTCTGTGATGTCATACCATATGCTCAATACTGGAGAAATTAAAGTCAGTTTCATAAGAGTTAAGCATGCACCTTCATGACATGGGTGCCTTGAGTGACTGGTGTGCTGTGAAACAAAGATAAATTTACTCAATGCATGCCTTCACTGAGCAATGTCTCCATGGAAAATAACCAGGAGGCTTAGAGAGGACTAGAGCAAAAGTAGTATTGAAAATTGGGTAAGGTGGGTCTCTCTCTCAGCCCCTTATCACATAAAGTGGCATATTAATATTGCGAAACGGTGTGAACAGAGACAAGAGTTGTTTGGGTGTTTTCAGTCTTTCTGACGTTCACATGACAGTGCAAAAGTGACTAAAATATTTGGCCAAACGAGAAGCTGATTGAAAATATAGAGGAAAGGCATAGCTATCATCCTGTAAAAGAGGGCCCTCATACATGTAGCGGAAATAATGCAGCAGTAATTACAAACTTGGAAAAGTAAGTTTGCAACGCCACCTTAGCAGTTGCAGGTGCATGAAAGGTGCTACAAACTTGCAGTTGACCTGAATGAACACACAGAAGGATTGCAACCTTTGTCCTATTTTCACTTCCTTACAAAATCTTTTCCTGCTAAGACACTAAGAATGCTGATAATATGTTGAATTCATCAGACCTGCCTTAAGGAATATACACGCCATACAAAATAAGTGAAGTTAGCATAACATTTGAGGTTGGCTTTCACCACTAGGGCAGTGAGGGCAGAACAGCTATTCACTTGATGACATTCATTGCCAGCCAGTCACTTTGTAGGAAGTATGAGACATTAACAGCTTGTAAAACTGTTCTTTTGGTGTTGCAGCTTACTATTTTATAGCAGGGGCAAGAGGCAAACAGCCCTATAAGAGCTGTTTGTTTGTTTATTTATTTCAAGTCTGACTCACTTGGAATAGATCAATCAATCTATGTATTTTCTTTTGATAAGAGGAGTACAGGGCTAAAAGCTTGAGAGCTTGACGAGCTCACGGACTATCAAATCACCTATTCTCTAGCCTTCAGTCTCTATTGTCTTTGTGCACATTTCTAGAACCTCTGCAAGCTGCTTTTATTCTCACAACTGCTACTTTGCATAGCTCTCTTTTGGTGCCTTATAATGTAATAATAAAAAAATTACAGCCCTGGAATATGCATGCTTTATATAAGTAATACTGAACTTTTCTTTACAATATTTTCAGATGCCGGGAATACGATGCTTCCAGTGCCACAAGTGCAACAAGAGAGAAGTAACACTCAGATCACTATTCAGGCATTTTCATGCACACCATGGGCATGAACGCAACTGGTTGTGCGGTATCCAAGGATGCATGAGGACTTGTATCACATATGGAGCTTATAGAAAGCATGCTTCGAGGCAACACGCTGAGGTTTTTGAAAATGCCAACTTTCTGGAAGACAGTGCATATAATGTATTTAATCATGATGTGACATTTATTACAACTGAGGTGGACACTGAGGCTTTGTTAGATGACCCTGATGTGCCAGGAACTTCTCGTGCTTCTGACACAGAGCATCGGCAGACAAGTTTGGCCAGCTCATCTTGTCATCAGCGAGACTTTTTCAATCAATTTGCAATGATGCAACTGAAGTGGAAAGAAGGAAGAAGGCTACCAGATTCAACTTTGCAAGACATATCTACAGATGTTGTCTTGTACATGCAGGACTTTTTTGAACACCTTTTATTAGAATCTTCTGAAGCAAAAAAAAAAGCAGCATCATTTCTAAACCATCAACTTGAACAGCTTCTCAACAAAAAGCAACGAGAAAACTATTGGAAGTTGTGCCTCCCTTTTGTAAAACCAGAGGAAATTTTCATTGGAAGAGATTCCCGAGGGAAGAAGGAGACATACAGTTATATCCCTATTTTAAAGGCACTTGAAGCATTAATAACAAAGCATTCTATTGATTGGCACCAGTCGGAAGCAGCGACCTCAAGACACTATCTTAAGAATGTTTTTGATGGGAGTGCATTTAGAAATCATGCATACTTTCAAGGTGACACTAAAAAGATCTGCATACAGTTGTATACCGATGAGTTTGAAGTATGTGATCCACTTGGCAGCAGACGAGGTAAACAAAAGATGGTGGCTGTTTACTATACTGTTTTGAACATGGCAGCTGAAAAAAAGTCGAAGCTTTCATCCATACACCTTGCGATTCTCGTCAAGGAAAAGCTTGCAATAAAGCATGGCTTAAAAAAAATATTTGAACCGCTTGTGAATGACATAGCAAAGTTGGAAACAGTGGGTATTACTGTTAATGAAGAGGTTCATAAAGGAAGTGTGTTTTGTGTAACAGGGGACAACCTTTCACAACATAGGCTTGGTGGCTTTAAGTGTAGTTTCAGTCATGGCAGGATTTGTCGACACTGCATGGCACTACGCCATGAAATATCTGGCAAGCATAGACCATCTGATTTTGTAGAGAGAACCCCCGCTGTGCATAACCACCACCTATCACTAGTTGCACAGGGTCTTAGCTGCCTGCCACTGTATGGAGTGCGTGGTGAACCTGCGGTTTCATTTTTTGGCTTTGAGCCCACCCAGCACCTTCCACCTGATTTAATGCATGATTTGCATGAAGGCGTTATTCCATTTTTGTTAAAACATGTTATTTCTTTTTTTCTGAAATATCACATCATTAAATTAGAATTGCTGAACACTGCAATCATGACTTATCCCTATGGCCAAAATGACAAGAGAAATAAACCTGAAACATTGTCTGCAAGCATGTTCCAAAAGAAGGGCACGCTCAAAGGAAATGCTTCACAAATATACTGCTTGTTTCGCTATCTACCTTTTTATGTAGGTGAACATGTACCAACGGGTCACAATGTTTGGGCATTGTACCTTTCGTTCAGAAAAATTGTTGACTTAATCATGAGCAAGCAAGTGACAATAGAACAAATTGCTTATCTTGAACGGCTCATCTCATGCTTTTGTGTTGACTTCAGAATTCTGTTTCCAAACACTCCAGCTCCATGCAAACTGCATTACATCATACATTATCCAAAGTACATGGTGATGTATGGACCACTTGTTCATCTTTGGTCAATGCGATATGAGGCCAAACATCAATACTTTAAAGACTTGGCAGTAAAATTAAGAAATTTTAAAAATATTACGTTAACTCTGTCAAACCGCCATCAAACATCTGAGATGTATCTTCACTCTTTTGAAGATAGTAGTGTGAAAATGGTCACTACAGGGTGCAAGCCAGTGTCGCTGGAGCAGTTGCCTATCGAAGTGCAGAATTACATCACTGCAAATGCTATGGACACTAGCAATGTGTTCTCTCTGGTATCAGCTGAGATTCAAGGAACTCAGTATGCTGTTGATAGCGTTCAAGTCACGAGCATGTCGGATGATGGGCCATGTTTTGCCACAGTAAGAGATATCTTTTCTGTTAGACGGCAGGTCATTATGTATGCACAAAAACTTCAGACCATCAAGTTTGATGAGCACTACCATGCCTATGTTGTCAGACGGTGTCCTGAAGTCATTGTGATAACAGATATTTCAGGTCTTTATTCTAATGAACTGAGTATTCATACATTAGGAAACAAAACTTTTATTTCAGCTCGGCATGCATTTGCAGAAAATAATTGAACCCCTTGTGAATGACATGGCTAAGTTGAATACAGTGAATGTTACTGTAAATGGAGAGGTTCGTAATGGAAGCGTATTTTGTGGAACAGTAGATAAATTTTCAAAAAGTAGACTTGGTGACCTTACGTGCCGTTTTATCAGTTCAATTTGTACTGGGCTTCAGAAATGTTTTGACTGGCTTCTTAGTAAGTCAGTACTCATGTTTTTTTTTTTTTGGTACCATTCATATTGATAGGAACTTCCACATCCCTTCGAAATCTTTTTTAAGAGACACTAACAAGCAAAACGCTTTTTCACGTACTAGTAAAGTATGATTTCACAGTCCCGAAAACACCACTTTTGGTAACGCGACATGACACGTGGTAAGCGAGAAAATGCGCGAAAAGAAACTGCGGGTGGAGACGCCACCTGGAGATTCCCGCACCAAACACTGTGATGTCGTCAATATTTGAAGGCATGTACTGGGTCCTGTGTAATTCCTAATCCATAAAGTTAGAGTACATTGTAATATGTGAATGCCTAAATATACAAAGCCTCAGAAAATTTCATCGCGCTAATGTCACGAAAATAGGAAAAATACATTATGGAATTTCTTACGCAAAGGCTGGAGATTATGGTGCAAAATTCAAGAATCAAAACGTCAATCTTGATCTTCTCTACTAATAATGAACCTATGATGGTCAAACGTGCAGCATTGAAGTTCTCAGAGAGCAGTTTAGCAATCTAAGGCAACTAGCAGAGTGACTTGTTGGGTGAGTTGGTTCATTCTTACTGAGCTTATGGTGCAAAAAAAAAACAAGTGCAAACTGTCAAGTGAATTTATTTGTAAAAGCGCACACATATATATACAGGTATATGTACATATATATACTCCCTGCAGTGTAACGAGAGATTTGAACAAGGTGTCCCCATAGAAGACGCCTTATGGCCTAACAATCCATTGTTTACACACCAGCCCGTCTGCTCGACATAGCATTTTTCACAAGATATATACAGTGGTGTATCATAAACTACTTTTTTGGCATACTCGACTAATTTATCACGTAGCTTAATGTCGCACCCGTGGACCCACTCGCTCTGTCTAGATAACTTCATACCCACAGCCGCACAAATCTGGCGAAGCTTGTCTGCTGCAGAGAAAACCTAAAACCACGCTACATCCGAACCTGTCCCCTACTTTCTTCAGCTTATGGGAAACCCCGTGAACATGCGGAATGCTTACAAAAAGAGCCCCTTTCTTCCGTCTTATTCGGCTTATGCCAAGTGCTTCCAACTTCAACCTTTGCAGGACCCTTTCGCTTGTGTTTCTTTGCCCCATAGGCTCGTTAAAACAACTAGTTGTTTCTCTTTAGCGTCCATTTAATATACATTATTCAGTTTCAAGCAAACTATAATAAGTCAGTGGAGTAGCGTACACTTAATACTCCCTCAAATGTTCTTTCAATAATGTTTAACATGAAGTACAACCATATGTGTTGCACAGCCAAACCTCTTTATTTGTGAGAAAGAAGTTGCCTGTTAATATGTCTGTGCTGAAAAGCTTGTCTCGGCCTTGGAAATTTTCAGTCAGATGTCTGTGGGCTGTTGTTTGCTATATGCAGTTACTATGAAGAGTGATAAGAGGCACTCTTTTCTGTACTTATTTTTTCAGTCTGACGTTCTGACTTGGTGTTGCTTGCTACACAATGATACTATCGGCAGTGATAGGACTCAATTCTTTTCTTTTCAGTGCGATGTCACTTGGCTGTTGTTTGTTACATAAAACTGTTTCACAAAAGTTTCTGATACTTTTTACCGTACTTTCTATTAAAGCTTATGTCTTTTGACTGTCTCATTCTTTGCGGTGCCAGTGGCAAAACCTAGAAAATAAGGTCTGCCCCACCAAGTCAATTGTTTCGGTAATACACATTACTCTTCGTGACACTTAGGAGAATGGCTGAAAAGATGCCTCCGAGTGAACAATATGCAATAATTTTCATACGTTTCCATTTTTGCATGATTAAATACGGTAGCTGCTCAAAGAGATTTTTCAACGACAGCCTGAGTGCAGAACTTAAGAAGTACTCAAATAAAATCCACCTGATTGAGCCTCAATTTTCATCATCAAATTTGATCAGATACAAACAGTTGTATGCTCTGTTCCTTTATTTTACTGACATTTCCAACAATGCACAACATGTATTCATACATCGCACGTTATTGACATTCTGGCTTTAACAGCTGAATTACCAGACATGCAAACTACACGCACTGAAAAATTTATTCCTGCCAAGTCTCCCGGATTTCGAACGTTTCTCCCGGTTGCACGGGTATAAGAAAATCTTCCGGAAATCTAGTTTTGCCCACGCGTCCAGTGCTTTGTCTGGCCACTTGAGCAAAGTTGTCTGGCCACGTTGTAAGAAGGATTCTTTTTTTTTTTAAACGATGATAGGCAGGTTTAACTCGGTTCAATGTACGTTTTCAAGATGCGAAAATAGCGCAAGAACATGTGGCCTGCCGAGTAGGAGCAGCGAAATCGCGCATGGCTGTGCAGCTTTTGAAGGTCACGCACATTGAAGGGCCACTCACCAGGCAGGCCACTTACTAAATTTTAGTTAGACCGTGGAAGTTATTGGGTGTCTGATGAGAAACATTTTGCCACAAAAATTTTTGAATCGGTTCATTATGAGCCAAGAATTTTTTTATTTATTTTTTTTGAGCGGCGCGAAACGAAGATGAGAGGAAGTGAGCTCAAAACCCTTGCCGCTTCTCCGCGTAGCATTCGCAAGCCAAATCTCTTCCCTACGCTCTCCTGCATCCGACCAAGAGGTCACGTGTGCATGACATTCCCAAACACGGAGGAAGGAAAAAGGTTTCCTCCGTGTTTCCTTCCACCTTCCACCTTTTCCTTCCTCCGTGTTTCCAAACAAGCCCAACCCCCGTGCACGCGAGCGGCGTTTTTGTGTGTGTGTGTGTTGTTGACCAGCGTTCTCTTGAGGTCTACAGTCTGTTTCTGTGGGACGGCTGTCATCTGCTCGATGCACTGACCGCGGAACCGCGGGTACATGAACACATGCGAAATGCCATCACGTTAGCCCCACCACTCGTTGCAATTCACGGGGATAAAAAAAAAAAAACGCTCACTTTCCTTTATTACGTTTCATTATTTATGAAGAGATTAACCCCCGAATGCAGATATGTTACTTGGCTCGCGACTTCGACTTGACTTGAGCAAGTCGGCGCGAAGCAAGCAGCGGACTTCAAAACGCCCAAGTCAGCCTTCGCGTTTCATAGATGCTCAGGCTGTCTTGCTTGGTCAAGTCAAGAACGAGCTTCAAAGCAGAAACACGCTGCTCACCTGCTAACGAGGGTAATAATGAAGTTGTTCACGTAAGGCATGTATTACATAAAAAAACACCGTGCGTTTTAAAATAACTATAAAAACGAAGGGCCACAAGCATATTCCTGACATTTTACGGCTAACGAGCGGCACGTGGTGCCTGCCGTCACAGCGATGCGCAGTGTTGCTTTTGTGAAGCGTTCGTTACCCGCTGGTTTCAGTGGCCGCCCAAATGCGGCGCGTTTCTCCACGGTTGCTTGTTTGGAGGCGAAGCAAGCATCGCGTTGGGTTCTTTCGTCGTTTTTTTTTTTTTTCCAATCGAACGCCGCGGCATGTATTTGTGCTGACCTGGCTCACGAGGTGACGCGATTTTCACGGTATTTGCCTGTAGTGGGCTAGGTCGCAGTAAATATATATATATATATATATATATATATATATATATATATATATATATATATATATATATATATATATATATATATATATATATATATATATATAGCGGGGGTCAGGACATTGCCCTCAGCAGAATTTTGTCTCGCGGGGTGCAGCAGTGTCTCGCTGCATGATGGTGAAGCGGATAAAAACCGTGATAGGGGCACATCTTTTTTATGTGTGTGGAATTCTACGTGGCGTTGTGCTACAAGCGATGCTATCTGAGCGAGAAACAGTGCCCTAGACGGGACGAAAGGATAGACGAGGCACACGAGTCATTTTTTTTTTTTTACCGAAAGAGACGGAAAATGTTGTCGTGTTATATAAAAACAGAAATAGCCTTTGCGATTACGGAACACTTCGGCGTTGTCGACACCGGGGCTATTAATACGCTCGTGTGTGTAGTCGACACAATCTGTAACGCAAGGGAACTCAGCCACTTCATAACAGTCCGCCGGCTGCGGAAAGCGCACCAGCATCGCGTACAGGTGCTTTGCGATGAGTAGCGTAATACCCGTGCCACACGGGCATAGAAAATGACATTTGGTGGCGAAGGTCTTCAGTTCCCGAATGACATTCGTTTCGCCGGCGCTGCTACACGTCCAGAGCGAATGACATTTGACTTGATGATGTCGATCACAGCACCTTCCAAGTGAGCATTGAGTGAATAGCAATAAAAAAAATTAAGAAGCATTTACAAGCTTCATACACATCAGATAATCATCAAATGAAGAAATAAGCGTATTACGCTGTCCTAAGTTTTAGTTTCTTGCTTTGTTTTACAACGTTGCAGCCAACCGTAGCAAGCTAAGCCAACACTAGTCAGATCCAGAGCGTAAATAGACACTAAAATTGACAAGCGTTTCATTATCAATACTTTATTTTCTTCGTATAACGTTCAAAGCATCTTTTTAAGACTTTAGTGCAAATAAAAGACGGGAAATTTCATTTTTAGCTCAATATGATTTGTTTTATATACTTTCAGGTAAATCGCACTTCGCGAGCTGTGTTGTCGAGAGTAGGCATTTCTCAGTCAACTGAGTTCTGGCGAAGGCAGTTGGCGGCGAATGGCATTCGGATGAATGCCATTTTGTTCGCCCGTGTGGCACCGCGCGAATGGCAATAAATCTGAAGGCGTTCGGGGGTAAATGCCATTTTTCTGCCCGTGTGGCACGGGTATAACTTTTCCGACTGCACGGCACACTGTCGACTACGGAATGCGGACGAAATTTCCGGTGACTGGTTGGAATGTGCCAGCGCTGTAAAACCTGAGAGCCATCAGTAGCTGTAACACTGGATGCACGGGCTGTCTTCGGTTGTCCCCACTTTCACGGAGCGGCAACATAACGAGCAGCTGCCCCACGGCGTTCTTCATGAATCTGTACCTAGCGTGTAATTGTTGCTCGTCGTACAACTCCATCGGATTTCCTTGGTCACGTAAAGCGGTTCCAAGAATCTTCGGCAGGCAGTGCGCCTCAAAAAATGCTACGCTTATGGCGAGGCAAGCAAACTCAAAAGCGGCCACCTTTCACGCGACGTCCATTCGAGAGGTGGCCATGTTAGAATAACGCGTGAAGTCGCTTTCAAGCTAGCCCCGCAGCTGACTTGAAACTTGTCCTGACTTCGACCGAGCCAAGTCACCTTCAAGTCATCCGCAAGTTCGAGAACGATTTATGGCGACCGGCAAGACTGTCTTGAGTCAAGAACGAGTCAAGTAAGAGTCAAGTAACATCCCTGCATTCGGGGGTTAGTAATCTTTTCAAGCAATAGCTACATGAAGTACGCATGTCGTGTTAAATAATCTTCGTCATGTCATGCGTCACTGTTGGCAACGTCAGAGCATAGTCATCTACGTAGAGGACCAGCGTCACTCCATTGCCGTGTACGTAGGGCCAATTATACGCGCGCTTCATTCCCTCATTCTCAGGGCGCGCGCCCGCAAAAGGAAACGGGAGTAGCATTCATCTTGAAATTCGACCTATTTCCGCGGCGTGTAGCGTTGCAAATTTTCGCAGACGTGATCATGAACGCCTCATCTACGCATTGCGCTTGTCAGCTCAAAATCGTCAAACCTGGTCAGTGCCTATTTAACAAAAAATGAAAAAGAGAGAAAACTCCATTGTAGTAGAGGGAGGCCAGTGATCCCGTGGTATAGTTGATGCTTTTGATGACTGTTGAATGTGCCAGCATTCTAGGAAACGCTGGTGGTGCCGTCGTGCACGCATGAAAGAGGAAAAAAAAAAAAAACGAGAGCAAGGAAAGAGCGAGCGCCAATGACAGGCGTGGCTGGGCGAGCGCGCGTTTCCAAACGGATGCACGTCGCACGAACGAAGAAATGCGCGGCCCTCGTTGTGGCTGGTCCACGACCTTAGGCATGCGAACGGTGAGGGGGAGCGCATAGTCAGCCCTTCACATTGACGTAATAGGGAGTGGCGCGGCGACTCGGGCGGACAGAGGAGGGGGGGGGGGGGCTACGCTGCGACGGACCTGCACACTCTCCCCCATCTGTACCCGAAAGGAAACTGCCCATATGCTCATGCCCGCACATCACCACACACTTTGTTGTTGTTAGTGGTTCATGTGGAAAAGGAAGAAGGCACCTAATTTCTGTCTGCCTACGGCGACACGGCGCAGTGCCTTTGGGGTGGGGTGGAGGGGGATGAAAGAGGATAGGAGAAACCACACACTTTCTGTACCTTGCCTTTATGCGTTCTCGCGTTCTCTTTCCCCTCTCCCTCAAGAAGCTTAGCTAATGGCAGGGCTTTTTCAAGCCGCTCGCTACGATTAGCCAGCGCTTCTCTTTTTCGCAAGTCAGACTTTTTTTTTTACTTTTTTATCTTTTTATAATCCTACCGATTTCTCCTCTCACTGTCTCTTATATCCCCATTCCCTTTATTGAGCGCTCCTCCCCCATACCCTTACCTTTTTCGTACAACATGCTTGTTTTTTTTTTCAGTTTTTTTTTTACTCAACTGCAAGAGTTGCCGAAAAGCGTGCCTGTTCTATTTTCTTATGCGTCCGGGCTACGAGCGGAGAAGGCTGAGCGGCGGGAAGGCGAGTGTTTGGCAGGACTGTACTAT